AGCCGCTAAAAGCCGTGTATACCTAAAAAAGAGGTTATATAGGCTTAAGGAGTCCTTATTACTATAGCAAAAGCACTTTTCGGCTATCCTTTTAGCGGACGGTTTTTAGATAGTGCCGTAGGAACCGTGTTATTTTCTACGCCGCGGTTTAATCCTATTCTTCTACGTTAACGATATTATTATTACTTATAAGGAATAATATAAGGCGGAGATAGAGTAGGCTATAAATAACCTATAACGCTACTATAACCTATAAGATAGCGATCCTCTATAGTGGTTCCTTAGTATTAAGGTTATGTCCCGACCGTGTTACCCGTAAATTCTAGCAATTATAATGCGATTATATTACTAAGTTAGAACGCCTATTCAAGCTAAATAGTAATAGCAAGCATAGCAGTAACTATCGCCTAACGCACCTAATCAAGATCGCAGAACTACTACCCTATTCAGGGACCTTAACGGATATTAAAAGCTACTAATAGAAGATAGGATCTATGCTATACGGACTAGTAATATCGCCGCCTAATATCGCGTTTATAGTATCTAGGCTATGCCGGTTTAACGTTAATCTAGGGCGTATATACTACGAGGCCGCCGATTATCTAATCCTCTATCTTATTAATAGCTAATCGTTTACGTTAGAACTAGGGGGTAGTAATACTATCGAAATCTATACTAACGCCTCGTTTACCGATAATACCCTTAATCGTAAAAGCAGTTGAGGGTATATAATACGCTTATTTAGCGGTATAATCACGTAGCGCGCTAATAAGCAGAATATAGTTATAACGTTAATAACGGAAGCAGAGCTACTAGCATTAGTATAAGATGTAAAATAGGGTATCTTTATATAACGTCTATTACTTAGTATAGGAGTGGAATTTAACAATCCGGAATTAAGGATCCTATACGATAATAACTAAACGATTCGGTTAGTTAATTAAGAGATTAGCACGTTAATAACGCGCCTCCGCCACGTTAATATCCTCGCCCACTAGTTATATTAAGTAAAGGAATAAGGGTAAATACTCGTAACGTACGTTACGAGTGCGGAAATAGTGGTAGACGGATTAACGAAGGCGTTATACGGCGAGAAATATAAGATATTTAGGTCCTAGGTAGGAATAATAGATATACGGGAACGGCTATAGTAGAAATAGCTAGAGGAAGTCCGGATAGAGCATTTAGAGGACGTAGAGAATAAATTTAAGGGCGGCTATAGCAAAGAGATTATATAGGTTATATGCCTATTATATTTACTAGTTATAAATAGCTTTAATCGCCTAACTATCCTTTAGGGCGATTAGGGGGTATATCGAATAGACTATAGTCTTATCGGTTACGTAACCGGGCCGGGGTACTAAGAGTATAATCCGGGTGGACGCTTATAGAATCTACACTATATAAAATACGGTAGCAGCGATTTCCTAGCGGACCATACACAGTTATAATTATATATAATTGCCTTTATTAATCTTGATATATTTTGTGACGATTTCGACTACGCTTTATCTAATAGTATCTTCGGCCCGGTAACCTTATAGGTATAGAAGTTAAAGAATTTATTAAGAAATAGGCTATAATACTAAGGAAAAGATACACCGTAACAGATAATACTATTATAACCTTATAGTCGTATATTATAGAGACTTTAACTTAAGGAGGAATAGGAAGACTTTTCTTCCTTAACGCTGACGTGGTAATTTAGTATCGCCGAGTACTCGGCAATCCGAGCGTATCTCCGATCCTATATAGTACTACTCTATAGTGCCACTTAGTTCCTTGCACTTTAGAGGTTAGGACTCCGTCACGATAATAGTAATAAGGGCAGACGATGATAGGGACTCCCTTAGAGTCTTTAGGACTTCGGTTAGAACTATATTAGGAGTCGGAATAGATATCGGAGCTATGGCAGACACGGGAGTAGTAGTAGGAGGTAGAGGAGTTAAGGCTACGGTTAAAACAGGACTAAAAGATACAAGAGGAGGGGTAGGAGGAATAACGCGCGAGGGGATCTTTTCGGTGCGTTCCTTCTTCTTTTCGGTGTCCATATTACCCTAATTAGACTAATCCACACGCGAGGGACTATTCTTCTCTGTATTAGAACGGGCTAAGCTCGCGGTAGCTAGCGGCGGCGTAGGCGGAGGCGTTAGGTCGGTAGTCGTATAAGGAGGAGGAGTAGAAGGAGAACAGGTAAAAGAGGGCGGCGGAGAAGAAGGGGAAGTAAAAGAAGGAAAAGAAGAAGATAGAGGAATAGGAACTAGCTTATTACGAACTGGCTTATTACCGACCAGGGCATTCCACACGCGTAGGACTCTCTTCGAGCTAAAGCAGAAGCTATTAACGAAGCTATTACTAAAGCTATTAACGAAGCTATTAACGAAGAGACTCCGGAGGAGACTAAAGTCATAGGGCGAGAGAGAGGGAGAGAGCGAAGCAGAAGACGAAGGCATAAAATCCAAATAACAAAAACAGTATCGCGGCTTGTAGGCACGCGACGCCCTTACCGAGGCGGTTCTGTATTCCCCTAGCCGAATCCATATCGTATATCTTCGCATTTTTCAGGCTCGCGATGCCCTGGCCGAGTCTCTGGTCGGTCGAATCTATATCGTATCGTATTGTGGTCAAAGCAGTATTTAAATTAGAAAGGATATCCCGGGGACGTAACCACAGGTAATAATATCGGTCTCAAAGTCTTCAATCAATCTATCCAATTAGTATAGCCATTAGATAATAGACATCACGACAAGCACGGTCTGCACGTTCTAGATAGTCTAAACGCATTAACGGCGACTGTAGTTCGTTTAAGCAGACCGGAACTACTCTCGAGCACTCTAGCTACCCTGATTAGATTAATAGCTTCTAGAGTACCGAAGAAATCTGCCTCCGAGGACTATATTATACCTATGCAAAGACGTTCCTGTATAAGATCGTTAGAATACTAATTATAGTTATTAATCTATAGATAGATGCATAGATAGATAAAATCTAGAATATAGGAAGCTCCGATAAAACGGTCTATATATACTCCGGATCGGTCACGTATATCCATTTAACCTGATTAACCGGTTCGGACCCAAAGGGTCCGACTAACCTGATTAGTCAGAAAACGAGCGGCCGACCTAATTAGTCAGATTAATCCCAATAACCGATCTCCGCGGTTATACTAGTTAGTTATAAGCCGAGATAGTAACCCTCTAGAAACGTAAGCGGGAATATAATATACGGGAAACCTATAATAAGCTTTACAGCATTATAAAAAAGAAAGAGGAAAATAAGGAGAGCCTTAGTAGTTATTAACTATCTACTAGTTCTACAGTTATAGGCAGAGTCTTACTTTATATACCTATTACCGGATATAGTAGGCACCTACCCTTAAAGGAGGTCGGAGAGCCTGCCTTGCCTATTATCTTCATTAATTAAGTGGAAGGGATAATAGGAATAACCCCCGGGGATATAGGGAGACTAAGTATAAGGGGCCGTGGCCGCCGTATAATAGGAGCGCCGCGGCCCCCCTTTAGCCCTCACTCCCTCGCTAACGATTAGCTTAGCCTAACTCGAACCCTAGCTTACTACCGTTTCTATTAGCTATTAGCCTAGCGGTATAATCTAGATACGTAGCAGAGATAAACCGGGGCTATATGGGCTCCGTAGCGGTATTACTCTACCTAAGGAAGAGTATAAAGATTTTTCCGGGGTTCCCCCGGGTTTTCCCCTCTATAACCACCTCAAAAAGACGGTATAGCCTAAAATAGGCTCTTATGAGTTAGATAGGATAGCGGAGTAAGATAAATAAATAAATAAATCTATTAAGAAAAACGATGAATTAGATCGTTATTTTAAGTTTCTATATACTCCTATAGACTATTATTCAGCCCACTATTTTCAATGCTCTTAGTTTATTTTAACTGCTTTTCGACTTTAACGGCTTTAATACCGTTAATTACAATCTAGGCCTATTTACCCTGGATTTTAAGCTTTAATTTAATAAGCAAATCAGTTAGGATTAATCCTATTATTCTATGGGGGTATGTTAGATACCCTTAGCCACATTGTCGAGGTATAATAAAGCTGTATTATATTAGACTTGTAGAGTACCTCGATCCTCTATATCTTTAGTTATTTCCCCTACTTTTTCTTAATAGTTAGATATATCCCCGGGAAGCACCACGAACCTTGTATACCTAGATAAATACACAAACAATTTTCGGTACTTTATTTGTGTTCCGACAGAACATAATATAACCCTGATTTGTCTGATAACTTCGGATAAAGCGATTTGGAAGTAAGGTAAGTCCCCACCCCGGCTTTTGGAACACCCCCCCTTTTAGAACACCACTTACACCAAAAAGCTGCTTTTTAGACCCCTGCTATTTTATTAAATAAAATATAAAAGTTATAAGAATAAAACCCTAGATATACTAAGGTCCCAGTACTAATATTCTGCTCATACTTTTGATATAGGTTTAGTAGAAGAGCTATACTATAGCTTAGAAGTTAGAGATTTAATCTTGTTAGTGTTAACATACACTATATAAGGAATCCTTACTAAATAGAAATATATCAATTATAACTTAATAGATATAGATATAGCTATAAAATAAGTACTAGAACTAAGTTCGAATTCTATACTATATATCTCTGTAATATATCTAGTATTATATATTCTTGTTCTTTTAACATAAGTAAAAGTAGGCTTCCCCTACTAAAGCTTTATATAGGCTTATATGTATTACTTAATAACTTCTCGAATACTAAATAGTTTATGATAAGGTTTCTATAGTAGTATCTATGAATTTTACGCTATTTTCTGATCTTTAAGTTACAATTTTTACGAGTAATACTGATGTATTATGAATATTCTTAGTTATATTCTACCTTACCAATAAAACACATACTAAAATACATAAATAATCAAGTCCTAACTTCTAAGCTATATTATAGCTGGTTTACTAGACCTATATAAAAGCTAGAAACAGAATATCAGTACTTGATTTTTTATCTATATAGGGTTTTATTTGTATAATATTTACTATTTTATTAAATACAATAGCAGGGGTCGAAAAAGCAGTTTTTTGGTGTAATTGGTGTTCCAAAAGGGGGGGTGTTCCAAAAGCCGGGGTGGGGACGTACCTATCTATCTAGGTAAGGGAGGTAACGTAGGGATTGGGTACGTTATATACATCATTCTGATGTCCTAACTCCTGTAATAGACCGGTCGGTCACAAGGTGACATAGCAACTCTATTTCTTGCCCTTCTTCTTCTTGCTATTGAATGAGCCCGACGAAGCTTGCGCCTTTTCCACTTTAACAGACCCGGCTCCTCCCGCCAACTCGAGTGTCTCTTCCTCCCTGACGATACCTCCTTGGGTGTTCTCATTGGCCTTCCGCTTTGCTTTTTTACCTTTCAACCGGGATGAAGACCGGTCACGTAGCGGGAGCCACCGCTCTGGGTCCAACACCTTTCCTTCCTCGTGGCTCTTGTGTGAATTCCTCAACCTTCTTGTTTGGCGAGTTTTATGGTTCCCGCCAACTTCAGTGGAGCGTTTTCCAGAAGCAGCCACCGGAGAGGTCTGAGCCAGCACCAAACCAGCATTTACCAAGCCCTGGACGTCGACGTTATGGGCGAGGTCGGCCGCAGGTGGAAGATCGCCGATCAGCCCTTCTGCTTTGGCCTGGTTGTTTGTGGCGAAGGAGGCAATGAGGCCGGTCGTCGCGATAGGATCCTCGGCTGTGTGGCTATGGACTTTCTGAAAATCAGCCTGGGCGGTTGCCAGGTCGGCAGCGTCTGGGGATTTGAGAAGTTCGGCTCCAGCGGTTCGAAGCAAGCCCCTAGGAACATTGCCCTGCTTATTCCAGTATAACGAAGCCTTGGCAAGGTCTGCTCGCATGCATTTCACGCGACCCTGGAGTCTGTGAAGTGTTACAGCCAGAGCAACAAGACCAGGAGAGAACCGCATCTCCAAAGCGTTTCTTTCTTCCAGCTCAGTGAATAGAACTTCCAAGGTGTGCAGAGCTGCTTCAGGGCGGTTCGAGGCCGCGTACAATTGTATCGCCGTGAGTGCGGCACCTATGTCACTAGGTCGTGTGATGGCGACCGCGAGGATATCACGAAGTGACATCACCCCAGAACCCTGTAGAGAGCGTGCAGCGGCGTTGACGGTAGATAACACAAAGACGTCGGAAGAAACTCTAGTGGACGTCTCCAGCAGACATTTTGTCCTGTGCACAACCCCGGGGTATTTCTGGGCACGAAGTGCAAGCGCGAACCGGTTGCGTTCCAGTCGATGCTCTTGGTGTTGAAATAATCGGACGCTCTTGGATGGGCCCAAGGCCCGCTCAACCTGGCGTAGAGTTGAAAACGCATTGCCACCGTGTGCTTGCAAGGCGGAGCTGTTGTTTTCTATTATCAATTTGATCTCATCGTCCTCAAATCTAAAAGGTCGTGGTGAGCCGGAAGATACACAGCAGCAGGGGACAAATGAGCGTACCCATATGATGATAACTGGTCAAGGGCACTCTGGGCCTCAGCCTGCTTTCCCAATCTAGAGTAGGTATACATCTCCTGGACAAGAATCGGGACCATCTCCGCTCGCCGCTCATCTTCGGAAAGATCATCCGAGGTGCTACAGAGGCGACTGGCAAGCTTAAGCAATGTCAAGGCCTTCAAAAATTCCCCACAGCTAATGTTGCAGCAGGCCATATTGTACGCCAGTTCGAAAGAATGTGGCGCTACTGGTGTCGAGGTGTGTTCGTCATTGCGGGAATCAGCGCCTTGCCAGTTTTGTTGTGCGGTTACTGCCAGTGAGTTGATTGCTAAATCGCTCTCCTCCCAAGCCGCGCCATTCTCGGATGACACCAACGCAGTGTAAAGGGCCGAAGCATCTTGGAACTTCTCGGCGCGGTAAGCCGCTTGCGCGGCAATGTGAAAATAGGCCCTCCCCCTTGTAAGCGACAATTGAGCAAGGGCGGACGCTCCGTCTAAGTCTCCCGACTTGTACAGCGCATAGCATCTTTGGAGTGTGCAGGCCTCCTCGGCGTCACTCCCTGCTTCCGCAAGAGCACGTAAGGCGTCATCGAACCGGTCTAGCCGGAGTAGGGCAACGACTTTGGCAGCTAGAGCCTTTGGATCAGGGCTTGAGGATTTCAACGCAGCGTTGGCGGCTTCGAGAACTTGGTAGTCGTCGGTGTTAAACGCATGCAGCAATGATGCCAGAGTGGAAGAGGGGTCGGTGGTCGCAGGCATGGCGTCAGTGAGGGCGAGTAAGAGTCCCAACGTATAAGTTTCATATACTCGGCACTGCTAAGGCAGGCTGATTAGAGAAGAGACCAACTCGGGAGAAGGAGTTTCGAAGTACTAAGTACCTGGGTCTGGTTTAAGATATGCACGGTTTGTCCTGCCGACGATATGTCGTTGTCAGAGTGAAGAGACGTTAATTGACATAAAATAGGGGTTGACGAATGGTCGTCTACGGGTGTAACCTGTGTTGAACTGTCAGATGCCCACAGCCTGTCAGATACAGCGTAACCGGAACGGTCAAAATAGGGTCAAAATTAAAGATTGATTTGATTGAGGTAATTGTGTATAATTATGACTGTACAGGACCGTTAGGGAACTGCTGGCACCGTAACATTATCGCATGGGCACAGACGATGCCTGGCAGACCATGCCTGACTAAGAGCTTCGAACCTCAGGTATTGTTGGCAAAGTACCACACAACGTGGCACAGACCACATATCCATACCATGCTATATAGTCACGTGATACGTAGTCACTTGTATTACTCTTGCAGCCTACACTGTCCATAGTTAGCTAGATCATCAATATATACACACTTTACCTATATTACTATAGGTATTATGATATAATAAGAGCGGATATCGGAAAAGAATAGATAGAATCTAAATAATATACTACCTATAATAGAGTCTTTACTACCTAAATTAAGGGTATAAGAGAATTATATAGATATAATGTAATGTAATATATATACGACATTTCTGCTTTATAAGGATTTCTATATAAAGTGCTATTTAATAGATAATAGTTATAAAATCGGTTTATAACGCCGAAATAATAGATATTAATAAGACTACTCTATTCTACTATAAAAGTAATTAAGTTTAAAGCACTCTTAAATAACCTATCTATTAATTAATTAATGAACCGTTAAATAAATAAAGATATCTTCTAATATATCTAACGCCAAATAAAAGGTTATTACCGTTATTAATTACAGTGATTAGGTATTATAGCAGCGTATAGTACACGGTAAATTTGCTAACGACTAGGATAATAATATTAATGCAAAGATTAGCGACGAGGAGGCTAAAGCTAACCTACTACTTAAGCCTACGCCGTCTAATATTGGTAGATATAAAGCTTTTATCGTCGACCTCGAGGCTACTAAGGAGGCTACTATATCCTTTACTAGTATAGTAGAGGGCGATAACGCGACTAAATCCTTTAGACGAAGATACTATCACGGCCGCCGTTACCGCCACCGCTATTACAGTGAGTAAGCAAAAGTTTCGGTATAAGCTAAAAATACCACGCTACCACTACTTCTACTATTATCTTCTAAGTCCTCTAAAGATATTAATTGCTGCTTAGAAAGGTTGTAGCTATATATTATAGATACTATAGAAGCAAAGCTATAGAATGATATATATATTGTTTTGTATATAACTCGTTTACTTATATAATAGTAGAAATACTACAGAGTATTTCATTGACTAGAATATATAGGGTATATATTAAAGCTCTTCTAATACTATAGTCGCGGTTTTGAATAAAGAAGCTAAAAGTGTTTTTAGATTTAATAGAGCCTCTACCTATAATATATATACTTACTTAGTTATTATAACCGTTTTTATAGAGTTTATATTCCGCGAATACAATAGTAAGTCTAAAAGTACGATTCTATTGTCTCGTAGATAATACGAAGAAGAAATGCCTTAATACTATAAGATATATAAGTAGACTATATATATTATATATATCATTTTAATCTTTATCCTTTTCTAAGACTAATAAGACTATATAGAAGCCCATAGCTATTAGTCTCCTTTAGTTATAGCTATTTAAAGATAGAGGTTAATATAGTGAAGTAAGTCTGTTATGGGGTTTATACCGAAACTTTTGCCGATCCACTGTACTATTGCGGCTGTCGGTACGAAGAAGAAGACGACTGCAAGTAAAAAGGCTATAACCGTAATAAAGCAACCGCTAATTAAGGTTCCTACGTCTATCACGCGACCTCTCCGAAAGAACACACGCGTTACCTATACGATCGCACTGTATACCGCGAGGAAAAGGAAGACTACGAAACGTAGTAAAAGGAGCTTACTAATATACGTTTATACATTACGGCGACTATTTATACCACGTTACATAATCTCCTCGCGTAGCTATAGGATAATAACGTAAATAACCCGCGGGCCTAGGTTACTCTCCTCTACATATAAGCAGGACTGACCCCTATAAGCCTCTATAAGAAAGTCCTAAGCCTATATCGACGATACACGTCGCCTATAAAGATTATACCTAAGGATATAAACGCGTAGGTTATAAGCTAGAAAATAGCCATAATATACTATAAATATATAGGCGTTTCAGAGCTATTAAGCGTAGACTATTGAGTGGAAGACGCGTTAAAAGCTATTAGACTTATCGCCCAGGAATAGAGTAATAACTATCTAATAAAGAACTACGATAAGATTATAGAATATAAACTAATGATTAAGGACTTCGTAAAGGCTCTAAGGGCTGTTCTTAATAGTATAAAAGGCCTTTAGTCTACTATAAAGCCTAAGATTAGGAGAGGTATATTTAATACAGTTGGGAACCTCCCCGATATAGAGGATACTTATACTACGCGACGGAGCCCGCGTGTTAATTCTAAACGTCCGCTAGTATTAGGATATAATGGGTTTAATCCTGTATACCGCTAGTATAGTATGACGGGATATCGTGTTCGCCTACACGAAGCTTTCCTAATAGAATATTAACCGCTCCTTTAACTACTTTAAGAGAGACTAATAAGTGCGGCTATTCTTATACTATATAAGGTGTTACTGCATAGAATTCAGTGGGGATAGACTGTTCTTAACCTCGAGCAACGCGTCCTTCAGGTATAATCCAGACTATAAGCCTTTATAAGGATACGTGGTAAAGCTCTTCGGCGGAACTATTAACTAGAAGGCGGGTAAGTAACCGATAGTTATAACGTCGTTAATAGAGTTAGAACTACTTACTCTTATAGCGGCGGCTAAGAAGATATTGTTCGTTAGTCCGATATTAAGGGATTTGAAGCTATGGTTAGATTACTAATAAGTATAGCTATATTACGATAATTAGTATATTAACATTAATAATAAGAAGGTATAACGCCTACGAATAAGGCCACGCCACATTAATATTCATAACTAGTAGGCTCGTTAGTTAGTATAGTAAGGACGGTTTGAGGTTATATACGTTAACACGAAGGATATAATCGTAGACGGATTAACGAAGGTATTACCGGAGGAGGGGCTTAAACGACTATAATAGTAGCTTAATTTAACGTATTAAAAGAATTATATTAAGTGGTTAAAACCATTATATAAATATATTAAGCGCGCTAAAGCCGTAACGACGATAAAGGCCCCTAAGGGCCTGGTAGATACGATGGATATAGATCCGATTAAGCTAATTAGAAGCGAGGAACTGATTATAATAGGATTAAATTAAACGGTTAAATAGGGCGGATATAGATCCCTTTTACGAGAGCGTTTTTCCACTAAGTAATATTTTTACGATAGAAAAGTTCAGAGCTTTTAGTTTAGGCCGAGGCCTCTAATTAATTGGTTAACCTAGAAGGACCCACCTTAAACTAAGGGAGTGTATCGTATAGGTATATGACTATAACGGGCTTTTAGGGGGTTTATACCTAATTAAGGGCTCCGGACCTCGGGGATTCGAATATAATAAGGGTGGATATCGAGAAAGGCTAGATAGTATCTAAATAATATATTGCCTATAATAAGAGTCTACACCACCTAAATTAAGGTGGGGTTTTTTTTTTTTTTTTTAGACCAATGCAGCCCTAAAGCTATAGCGCGGCGTCTATCGCCCTAAGGGCTAAAGGCTATCAGGAGCTAGGTATAGTAAAATCAAGCGTAGTAAACAAAGGAGATCCTCCGTAATAATCTGCCTGATAAACCTAATAGGTAAAAACCAAAGCAAAATAACTAGACCGCAGGAATCATAGTTTACGCCCTATACCACTCCGCCGAAGCTATTTTAGTAACAAAAGTATAGGCCTGTAGGGCCTGTATTCCTCTTTTCGTACTAAATAATAGCGGCAGAGATAGCGGTAGGCCTGCTATGGCCTCCCGCAGTGCTTTTCGTTCTTCTTTATAAGAAGGACAGGAAGGGGTAAGGTGTGCTGTATCCTGTATAGGGGAGCCGGGACAGAAACAGCGGTTATTAGCGCAGTTTCAGGCCCTTTTGTAGTATGTTTTTAGGTATCCGAGGCCGGGTTTTAACTGCGTAAAAGCCGATGTTACCTATTTAGGGCCTTATGTTAGTAGTGGTTTTCGGGAGAAACGGAGGTTATCGCGGACTAGGGGCCTATAAAGGCGGCATAAACCCATCGATATACCTCTTTGTTCCGCCTCCTCTTCGTTATTTCACAGGGCTTTCCAGTCTTGAATAAGGGCTTTATTTACCCGGCGTTTTAGGTGGCTAAGGGTAACTCAGCTAACGGATTTAGTAGCCTTTTCGGGGTTTAACGCCCCTTTAGCCACTTTATCCGCTAGTTCGTTACCCTCTATCCCTACGTGCGAGGGGCACCACTATACAGAAATCGAAGTGCCTAGGTATTTAAGGCGTGAGATAAGGTCTTTAGCTTCAATAGCTAAATTAAGAGTATAAGACACTCACTCAGATATAACTTAATATAATACACATACACGAGATGCCTGCTTAATCAGGAGTACGCTACAAGTGCTATTTGACGTGCGACACTTATCCTGCTGCCCGCCGGGGGGGGAGTTTATCGTATAGTCAAAATATCTCATTTAGTATAATCTGCACGGAATAAGTAGCAAAAACCTACCTTATAATTAGATATAGAACCTATATATTGCTAAATTAGACCGATTTTATAGATTATAGTAATATATACTATACGATAGTATACATCGTAAAACGCGGCTAAAAAGCCGCAAAATAGGTCCGGGCGTAATTACAGGCATAAAATGCAGTCTGCAAAGAGTGGCTGGCACAGAAAGGAGGCTAACTTTAGTATACACACTAAGATTATCTCAATTACTCTACGATTTCAACTCCCTAATTTTAACACTATTATAACGGTTTAAGCTACAACGTATCTAATAATAACACCCTAATAAATCGAAGTTTATATCTAGTAGCTTGATAGAAAGTGCCTTCTATGTAGTTTATAGCTATAAAGTAGTAGCTAAAGTCTTTCCTATATAAAAGAGCTATAAACCGATTCTAGATTAACTTGGAGATTATAGTGTTAAAGCTTTTATATTATAGGTACTATTAGTAAAGGTTCGTTTGTCGAAAGTTCATCAGCTTCCTAAATTCGCAGGCGATGAATATACTAACTTGTACGTT